AGCTGCAATCCTGAGCTGTTCCTAAACGGCCATCTTGGGTCTTCTCCGCTCCTATTATTTATTTATTTATTACCAAAGTGAAAACACCAACTTAAAAATATATGCTTGACTCACAGAGACTTAGAATACTCAAGCCCAAGGAATGTCTCTATGAGCCAGACTCCAATTGGGACACACTATCCTCTGCTAGACTCCTGCTAAGGAAAGCCTGGACTACTTCCTCCCTTCTGTGTCTATCAGCCACTATACCATGTTAAGAAGAACCACTCAAATGTTGTACAGTTGAGCCTTGAACGACAGAGATTTGAACCGTGTGGGTCCACTTACACATGGATTTTCTTCTGCCTCTGCCACCCCTGAGACAGGAAGACCAACCCCTCCTCCTTCTCCTCCTCCTCCTCCTCCTCCTCCTCAGCCTCCTCAATGTGAAGATGTTGAGGATGGAGACTGTCATGATGGTCCAGTTCCACTTAAGAAATAGTAAATATATGCCCTCTTCTTTATGATTTTCCTAATAACATTTTCTTTTCTTTAGCTTACTTTATTATAAGTACTAAATATGCATTAATTGACTATGTTATCAGTACGGCTTTCAGTCAATAGTAAACTACCAGCATTTCAGTTTTAGGGGAGTTAAAATTTATATGCAGATTTTCAACTGCACAGGGGGATAAGTAACCCTAACCCCGACATTGTTCAAGGGTAAACTGTAACTGGAAAATGTGCCCATCTTCTTACTCTCATATCCACAGAGAGTTGGTGCCTTTCAACTGCCCTCTGGATAAAGGGAACCTCCACTTGGAATATCCGCTTCATTCCCACACTTCTTTTCTAGTTATTCCTGACAAGTGACTCATTAGCACATGAGAAACAGATGCTTATGAGGAGAAATGTGTGAAAAGCAGGCTGCTGTAGAGGTTGTCTGCATTCCACGGCAGTTCATCTTCTTACGTGGTCAAAATGTCTGGTTGCCTTCTCAACAAGGATATCTTTTTTCATGTAAACTGGGTGTAGGAGAAGGTGCCACTGCTCACAAGTGAAAGTGATATATAAGCCATAGAACAGGGCAAAGGTTTAGGAGTGTGTTTTGAGTTTAAGGGCATGGGCACCATGCACATCGTAATCTTAGATAAACAGCATAACTGCTCTGAGCCTTAGTTTTCTAATCTATAAGATCAGTTGAAGTAGAGCACCTGTCACTTAGTGGGTGTGAAAAGTAAATTGTATAAATGGAATAATGTATGAAATTACCAAAAACTGTACTTGGCACCCATCCTAATTTCTTAATAAATTGAGCTGTGTATAATTTCTTAGTATTGTCATTGAGGTTTCTCTTGCATAAACATCTACTTCAGGGATATCCCTGCACCTAAGATTCTGAAGCGCAGCCCCATTTCCTGAGGCTGTTTGGTCCTGAGCCCTTTTTTGAAAGCTCACACATAAGTCATTAAGTAATGCTGCTCAGGGGCAAGAGCAGTGGGGAAGGGGTGTGTGGCCTTGGTCCTGGCCAGTCCTGCACTCACCCACCATGATGCTCAGGAGACTCACTCAGCTGCTGTTAAGTCCCACTTCTGTATAATACCAGTCTTATCACCTGCTCTGCCTGGCCTGCAGAGTTACTGCAATTACAAAAGGAGTCTGTGGATAACGAAATCAATTGGTGTTGCTTTAGTACGTATTTGCCAAAAGAGGATTGTGATTCTAAAAAGGGAGAAGGGAAAGGCAAAATCCAGGAGGCTTCTATATCTTGAGGCCAGTTAAGTTTCATCCATAAAGGAAATAAAAGAGAAAAATATTTCTAAGCCATTAAGGCTTTATGTACATCATCATCGTCATCATCATTACATACTCTTAACTCAATGCAGAAGAGCAAAGGGAGGCATAGAGAGATTAAATAACTTTCCAAATGTCACAAAGCTGGTAAGTAGTACTTTTTAATCTCAATAAAATAGGAAAATTAAGATTAAAAAGTAAAATAATTTTAGCTTCAAGCGTATTGAGCTTCTACTATGTGGCAGACCCTGTGTTAATATTTTTCTTACATTATGTTATTTAAATCATTACCCTCAGCTACAGAGGTATAGAAAGTGAGGCATAGAGAGATTGAATGAGTTGTCAAATGTCACAAAGCTGGCAAGTGGGAGAGCTTGAGATGGGAACTAAGTTTGCTTGACTCAAGTGAGGGTCTTGCTCACTATGCCGCATAAGGCAGCCCTCTAGCTGATGAGACAAGACAAGGGAAATAAACACACATGACAGAGTCTGAGAAAAGTTGTGAAGACTAACCCTTTTACAGAATTAAGTACAACAAAAAATGGCTACTGGGAGTTATATTTCTGTATCCAGAGTCTGATCATTCCTCACCACTTTTACAGTTACCTCCTGGACCAAGGCACTGCCTTTTCTCACCTGGATTATTGCTGTAAACTCTTAATTAGTCTCACTGTCCACACACTGCTTCCATCCCACATACTCACAATAGAGCATCTAGAGGGAGCCTGCTGAGAGATCCATTCAGACCATGCCGGTGGTCTGCTTAGGCCCCTCACATGTAGTAAAAGCCATAGCCTTATAGGGATTTTCAAGCCCACCCATGCCACCTTGGCCCTGACTGCTTTACTGACCTCAACTCCTTTCATCCTCCCTTAATTTTTCTGCCTCAACCTGCTGCATCCTTGCTGCTCTTCAGATATGCCAGGCAGGATCAAGCTTCAGGACCTTTGCATCTGCTTTTCCCTCTACCCAGAATGCTATTTTCCTGGATATGCACATGCCTCTATTTCTCACTGTATCTCACAGGGCTCGGTTAGGAGACAGAAATGGTCTAGTTATTTAAACACCATTTTAACATAAGATGTTGTTAACTAGACATATAGTCATTAACTCTTGAAAGAATACTCTGAAGTATTATGGAGTTAGCAAATGCAGGAAGCAATTACTAGCTCTAGGTCTGAGTAAATAGATAAAATAATCACAGAAACTTAGACACTTAGAGACCCCCGCTGAGCAGAAGCTTAGACCTTTGGTAGAAGCAGGCACTGTCCAGATGAACCTGATGTCTCTGAGGGGCTGCTGCAAGGCTGGTTCTGCAAGAATTAGAAAGACTAACCCAGACTCAGTTGCTGCTCCAGGAAGGCACTGCATCTGCTGGGGTAAAGAGGCATTCCAGGAATTATGCTTATAGGAATCACAAGCAGACAGAAAGCTCACAAAAGTGAGCCCTTTCCTTCCTCTAGCATCCACTCCCTGATGACACTCCATGTTCACGGAGCCTGACAAGAAGCCAGCCAACAAAGCAGACATTTGGTTTGCAGAACGACAAAGCTAAGTGTGCAAGGTGTGGTTTGGAGGCTGAGCATCTGCAACTCACTAGCTGGGACTCTAGCTTCCCTAAGTTTTGCACATCTCACCGGGACCTTCCTGGCTACCCTAGTTAATGGTGGCTGATCTGGCCCTTTCTATCTCCTTTCTTATTTTATTCTTCTTAACACTGACCTATCTGGCTAGCAGCAGCAGATGCTTTGGTTTTGTATGTCATACCCACTTGGCTCAGCTTTCTCAACAGCAGCTGTGGTGGGCGGTTCTGTGAGAGCTCGGGCTCATGGCCTTCACTGAGGCCCTGTTCCTCAATTAACACCTGTTTCTAGCCAGCTAAAGGGACTAATTATTCTAGATTAGGGTTTCGCAATCCTGGCACTGTGGACATTTTGGGCCAGATAATTCTTTGTTGTGGGAGGCAATGCTATATATTGTACAACATTGATTAACATCCCTGGTCCCGACCCACTAGATGCCAGCAGCACCACCTCTTTAGTGACAATCAAAAATTCTTCCACAATGTGCCTTGGGGGACAAAATGCTCCCTGCTGAGAACCACTTTTCTAGACTTATAACTAGTCCATGGGTTGTGTGAGAACCAGTTGAGCACATGAGTATTGGCATGAGCTACAGTGAGTTTGATTGGATGCATCTTCATGTATGACCTATATTCCCATGGGCATCGCTAAACTTGACTGCGTGTCATTTTGCTCACCTGCAAAATGAAAATGATACTATCACATAGGGCTATTATGGGGATTAAATAATTTATGTAGAGGGCTTAGTACAAACCAATTGGTCAATCCAAATCAATAATAAATTATTGTAATTCAAAGCAAAGCATCAATGTAAGTCGTGAGAAACCATCACCAAGTTGTTTTGTTAATATATGATGCCAAATAGCTGACGGTATTTGTTGTTCATCTCACTGAAAGTGCTTGACACTGGCCTCAGAGGAATGAGTGGTGGTCATGCTTCTAAAATCTGTAGAAATTTCATAGGAATAAATGCCAGATGCTGGAATCTGGGTAACTGATGATGAGACTTGCCTGCAATTGAGATGCATTTAAAGGCAATTAAGATATTGAGTGCAACTGTATGACACTGCAGAAAAATAATAAACACTTGACAAGTAGTAAATTTCACTGTGATGCTTAGAGTCAACTTGCTGTTTGATTCCTCTAATTGATTTACTGTTCCAAATGGCATCAAAAGGAATCAAAGTAACAAATACGGTTACATTGTATTTCAGGCGTTGAGTGGTTTATTCATCTCAGTCAGCACTCAGAACCCAAAACTATCCCTGGTGGATGGAATGTGGCATATTCAGACACAGCTTGAGGTGGCACATAGGTTTCTTTCTGATGAATGACACAAGAACCCCAGACTTTGTTGGCAGTAAGAAATCTGGGTTCTACTCCCAGCTCTGCCACTTACTTCCTATGCACCCCAAGGCCTGTTATTTCCTCCAGGGCTCAGTTTCTCCACATATAATATAAGCAATCTGGGGGGAGTTCGTTAGGTCTTCTATCTCTATGAAGTATCACCCCACCCCCATCCCTCTTCACATACCCTCAGAAGTATGCAAAGAGAGGAAGTCAAGTGTAAAAGGAGTGCTATTGACTTTGGTGCAGTTGAAGCATGCCTGTTTAATTCTCATGCCTTCTTTCCTTCCTTTCTAGGTACACAGTTCTGCACAGTGGACATCATCAGGAACTCGAGAAACTGCCCATACATAACGACCCAGAATCCCTGGAATCATGCTTCTGATTGAGGACATGGCTCACAACTTAGCCATTCATTCCCATTCATGTTTGCATGAACAGGTCACCCTGGCATCCCTCCTGATCCTCATCACCGCCAGTGAGGCACAAGGCAGTAGGGGCTGAGGGCCCATGGCAGGTACACAGAGGATGGTGTTGGGTGGGACCTAAGGCCAGAGCATCAAGGATCTCATCAAGGATCTCAAAGTTGTGAAGGAACTTCAGGCATCTTCAGATTCACCCACCGACCCAAAGCGGGAGTAGCATCTTCTACTGCATCCCTGAAAGTTGGTCAATCTCTGCTTATACACCTCCAGGGACAGGAGCTCACTGGCTTCTAATTCAGGCCCTTTTATTTTGGAGAAGCTTTAATTATAAGGAATCTCTTTTCTTTCTTGGAACACAAACCTTTTGCTACTCCAGCTTCCATCTGGGGCCATGCAGTTAACCCCCACTTTCCCCTGAGAGCCCTTAAATACTGGAAGAGAGTAATCTGTCACCATGCCTTTCAGTCTTTTCTATAAACTGAACATCTCCAGTTTCCTTTCCATTCTGGCCATCTTCTTCTGGACATGCTTTGGTGGATGAATTAATCATGGCTCTTCTAATAAAGTTAGGTTGATATCAATGCCAAGATGTCTATCTAGAAGCATTGACATAGTAACAAGTGAAATGTCAAGATTTTTGGCCTATAGCCATGAATATTTTCCTTTTTTCCCCCCTTGGGAATGTATTTTGGAGATTATACTGAGGTTTTAGCTTCACAGCCATTACTAAAAGGCATCTTTGCAGCTTGTCTGATATGTGTGTGTTCATGCACACATGTGTGTTTAAATTTGACATTTTCCTATTGGCATATTGGTGTTGAGGTCATTAGGAATTCACTTTATTTCTATGGCAATAGGAAAGGATTTTACTTCGTTACTGAGAATGTTGATTGAAAATGGCCTTATAACCCAGAGTCTGGAGGGAAACTGACTGTTGTTCACCCTTCATCAACATCTCACCCTTTTGAAATACCTATGGAGATGCTTCTTTTTCTCAGTCAAAGTGATCACCATCTTGCTTCATCTTGGGGTAAATGATATACTCAGCTTGAGGATCTGATGGCAGATTTTTAAAGCTGTCTTTCTTTTGGCTGCTGAGCTGATTTTAAAAAACCTTATTGAAAGCATTTACTACTGGTCCTCCTTTAGTGAGACAAAGGTAATAGGGCATGTGGGTGATGTTGGGGTTCATATGTAACATGTTTCTGATTGAGGACGTGCTAGGAATTTAACAGCAAGATAAATATGTTCCAGGAGTTTATACCTCACAAGTTCTCTTTGCCCTCCTACTTGGTCTATTGATCCTTCTTCTTCTTAACTGATGTCAGATGCCATGATGGCCTCCTTAACCCTCATTTCTTCCATGAAGGTAGAACCCATTAGCCAGCCCTCTCTCTTCTTTCTGTGCCCAGATATGGTGAGAAGGGATGGTCAGACACCACAGAGGACTAGGGTGATCATCTTTCTGGTTTTAGCATTCAAGTCCCTCATCCCAGGAAACTCCAGGGTCCTGGGCAAACTAAAGAATGTTGGTCACCACACTGGTGGGACCTCCCTGTGTTGAGGATTAATACCCCTCCCTCCTCAGAGTAGATTCTCTTTCTTCTGTTTTTCATGGAAAAGGCAAAGATTAGTGAATTTGGAAGTTCATAGTTCTCCTTTCTAAAAATGGTCTCTCTTCTCCTCCAACCATAAAGCATTTCTTAGGAAAGGACCAAAACAAGGATAATAAGAATACTACTGATAATAGTGCTTTGAGGCTTCTGGTAAACTTTTGTTTAATGCTGCCAATGTTGACAGGATCTACTACTTAATACATACATGCCTACACATATACATAACTACAGGATTTCTTCCTTAGGAAATGCTTCTCTTCCCACGAGCTTAGTAAGCATATCTGCTTATGTAAAACATTATTTATCAGTGGCAGGTCTTCCATATTAAATGGCAACTTGGATTCAATAGAGACACAAAGATTACAACATAGGGAGGAATATGAGATTTTACTATATCACAGAACTCTTTTTAACTCTCTAGATGTCCATCTGTGAGCCTGCCCATGGTTGGTGTCTGTAAAGGTCACAGGCACCCAGATCAGGGAAAAGACAGCAATTGTAAAAATAGTGCCTCTTGTCATTGTCAAGAAAGGGGTCTCCTTTGCAGAGGAGAGCCCCACAAGCTTGCTTTGTTACCACTTTGGACTAGGGCTGGGATGCTGTGAATGATTCATCAAATGCCAACATTGGTGATTTACAGGACTAGGCCAGACTTCTTCTGTGTGAGCAGCTGCTAGCCTTGCCTAGAAATCCAGGTAATATAGTGTATGTATAAAAGACTCAGAAGGAGAAGACATATCGCTTGTCCAAGGAAAGAGGAAGTCTATACCTTGCCCTCTTCTCTAAGAAGGGCACCCTCTTCCAGGAAGCCTGTCATGACAAGAAGAGAAGCATCTGGGAAACAGGATGATGTGCTGCAGACACATCTGCAAGATTGGCCTTGATAATTATTGGGGATGATAAATGCTACAAACAGACTGTCCCCATGTCTAGGAGAAAGGCAGTTCACAGTGCTTCCTTTCCACTTGACTCTCCAGGCTACAAGACCCTCCAGCTCTGAAACTAGAGAGGGATGCACCATTCCAGCTGTCACCATTAGCAGCTAGAAAGCAAATAAAAATCAGCTTCTTCAACTGATACCCAAGTGTGTGCTTGTAGAAAAACCTTTTCCTTCTGAGACCCCACCTTTTGGTCTTGACAACTTTTCCACCTTATGCTGCTAACTTGCTCTGTCCTGATGCAAATTGCCATCTAGCTGGGGACTGCATGGTGGGCATGGGTTGGATGAGGGAGGGGAACTATGGAGGGGCTGGGGAGTGGATATAACTACATTGCCTTCAACATTGTCTTCAAGCAAGAACAACAATAATGTCTTCTTGGTGCTGTGCTGTCTACCCATTTATCTCTTTGTTGTTGGATCTCTCTTTGGTGAGAAATCATTGTCACTTCTTTTTCTCTATTCACTTTGCTGAGGTCAAAATCCTGTAACACCTAGTCAAGAAGGAAACAAAGACTACTGCATTTACCTCTTCTGGCCAAAATTTGTAATCTCTTTTCCATCTAATTTAGAAAACTGAGGCTGAATACTTGGCTTGAATTCAAACAATTCAGGAATGGATTTGATGTCCCAAGTATGAACAACATGTTGCTTTGGGCCTTTCCCAACACTTAGCTTCACGTGTCTCATCTACAAGATAGAGATCATTTCTGAGTTTGTAGGATTGTTGAGTGCTCCAACATGGGTCATTCAAGGGCCACTGTTAGGATTTTTACCAAATATGTGTTCTGCCTATTTTGTTACCTATTAACATCTTTATCTAAGTCCATTCAAGTTTTCACTTACATAAATTTATTTTAGAAGAAAACATTATGTTATTACTCAAAATAGAAAACAAGGCTATTGAGTTTTAACTAGTTGCCAGTGCTCAGCGTGCATTCTCTGTTTCTGTGTTTAAAAGGGAAGTGAGTATTGGAGAGTTGTTAGAAACACCCCACATGGGGCTCTTTCAGAGTTGGAAGGGTCAAAAGATAATTTATAAAAGATGAGCTTCCAAACATTAGGAGTTATTGTGATTTGGCTATGAGCTGCATTCTACATTTTTGGAAACATGGAGAGAAGGGATAAGAAACTGCATATATTTTTAACTACTGTTATAGTGGATTCAAATTAGGTTTCTCCTTCTGTACCTTTTCTTTCAGCTGCCCCAGACCTATATCTTTGTTGTTAATAATAATAAAATAGCAGTAATAAGAGTAACTGACATTTATGAGTTTCTTTCTGCTAGGCATTGTGGTCATTGCTTTACATGGATTATCTCATTTAATCCTTATAAAATTCTTACAAAATTGTATGAAAATTTCCCCCACTTTACAGCTGAGCAAACCTCAGCTGAGACATCTGGTGACTAGCCCAAGGCAGCAGACCCTGGAAGTGTGGATTTGAAATGCAAACCCAGGCAGTCTTATTCTAAATAAGGCCCACAGTTCTAAGCATGTGCTACTGTGTTTATTATGGGGATGTATGCATTCCACCTTCACCTGTTAGACACTGTGCTAGGAGAGAGCAATGAACAAGGTTGCTTAAAGAATTTTCCTTTCCACATCAGCCTGGGACCCGAAAAAGGACTCTGGACATGCCTATTCCAGTGTGAACTCTGCCACTAAATTTCTTTCTTGTTTTCTTTTCTCTTGCTTCCACTCCCTGAGCCTCAACTTCCATCTTTAAACAATGGAAGATTCTGGTAAATGATCAGCAGGAAAGGCCCTTCTGCACTGATCTTTTAGTCTTTCTAGTATTCGCAACCTGGGATTACTGAATAACCAACAATAGACTGTAAGAACAAGATGTGTGAGTCAAAGAAAGCATTGGCCCTTTATATTCCAGGCCCTCATGGAGGCTGCTCATAGTAGAAGTGGCCCCTGCAGAAGGCAGTTTGCCTTCCCCACGTTTCTTGGTTGGAACCTGGAACACTATTTGAATATGCTCTCATTGGTCTCAGTAAGCATCAGCCTACCACTGCAGGCTTTGTGCAGTTTCTCTGCACTTTTATAAGATCTGTAAGCCTCTCATAACAGTATATGAAGAGGGATTGTTGACTTCATTTTATAGAAGAGGGAAGACTTTGTCATGGAAAATGATTTGTCCAAGAATGAAAGCTGATATGAAGCTGAAGTCAGGACTGAAAATATTTCAGATTTCTCAGTTCTAGCAAAGTGCTTCCTTCTTCTTTAAGTTTATCCTATTTCCAGACATATAAATTATACATTTTTAGACTATATAAATTATAGGTTACACAAATGACATATTTATGCAATCCATTTCCACTGTAAAAATTTGTTATATATTAACAGATACAGCAAAATATTCCTTGACCCCAACTCAATCCTACTCACCTTTCCCAAAAGTAAATGCTCTTTTCACTTGGCTTATGTAATTCAAGAACATTTTCTATGCATTTACACATGTATAAATGTACATATAAAACATATGGCTTTGTTTTGTTCTTATATTTAAATAAAATGATGTTGGTATATAATAATCTGCTACTTGCCTTTTCAACAGTGTACTCCAAACACCATTTCACATCAACACATAATTTTCTTTGTAGTTGCTGTGTATGCATTTCATGCTATAGACATTGTATGGATCGCAGTGTTTCTTTTGCATTCTACCTGCTGCCCATGTGTAAATGGGGCATCTCCTGCATCAGAAAATCAGCCTGTTTTTCTCAGACTGTGCTAACCATGGCTGGAGTGGTTTCAAGTTAAGTGGCAGCAGTAAGTTGACTTGGCAGCTTCCCTATTAGGGAGGGCCCACCCTTATATGGGCCTCCTTTCATTAGGAAGAACCAAGAAAATGCACAAGTTGCACAGGGTGACAGCATCCTGCTCCCATCAATTCCTAGATGTGTGCTGTTGAGGAGTATGTAACCTCCTGAAACCAAGTTTTCTTATCAGTAAAGTAGGGAACGTACTGATCATACATTTAAAGTGTTATTTCAAGAGGTATAGAAAGCACTTGGTAATAATCACTTTTAAAAACGCTAGCTTTCATACTGTCATGATTTCCTCTTTCTCAACAGCTTCACCAGTTATGTTTTGTACTATCCTGGAATATGCTCTGAGGAACAGGTTGTAGAATGATGAGTCCAAAAAAGCCTCCACTCCCCACCACCCCCCCCAAAAAAAAAAGTAAAAAACAAAAAACAAACTTGGCTGGGCATAATGGCTCACACATGTAATCTCAGCACTTTGAGAGGCTGAGGCAGGTGGATCACCTGAGGTCAGGAGTTTGAGACTAGCCTGGCCAACATGGCAAAACCCCATCTCTACTAAAAATACAAAAATTTGCTTGGCGTGGTGGTGGGTGCCTGTAATCCCAGCTAATAAGGAGGCTGAGGCAGAAGAATCGCTTGAACCAGGAGGCGGAGGTTGCAGTGAGCTGAGATCGCACTACTGCACTCCCTCCAGCCTGGGCGATAGACTGAGACTCTGTCACAAACCACAACAACAAAAAACCCACATTTTTTTTTTCATGTAATATTGGAAGCAGTACTACCTCCACTGTCATCACACTGTCCAGTTTACTGGCAGCTCCTATTGGAAACTAATGACTGCCAGATGGGGTGGGTGGTTATTAGTTGTTACCACTTGACAAAAGAGAAAACAGGCTCAAGGACAGGGGTTCCAACCATCTCCAGGTCTCCCACCAGTTGAGGAAGTCAAAAACTGAACTCGGGTCTTCTGATTTTACATATGAAGTCCCTGAAAGAACTGTGGTATCAGCTATTATTTAGGGAGATTGTTAAACCTACACACCTGGCAATGAGACACAATTCTCTCACTGATATTAAGTCATATATCATCCATGAAGTATTTTTAAGGCCTTTAAAAAATTTGTGGGACACTGCACTGCACCAGCAGCTGGTAATCTCAGTTCTCTATGGCAGTTGTGGCCATACCGTGGCCTCTGGGCCTTCGGATGTTTTACTTTTGTAAATGGCTGGGAAAAAAGTTGCAAGTGTAGTTATGTTGTGACAGGTGATAATTATGTGAAATTGAAATTGTCCATAAAGTTTTATTGTAACAGTCACGCCCATTCGTTTATATCATCTATGACTTTCACAATAGTTGAGCAGTTGCCACAGAGAATGTGGCCCATTGAGCCTGACATATTTACTATCCGGCCCTATAAAGAATTTGCTGACCCTTGCTGTAGATCAATCACTATCCAGCCCTTCATATTATATATATTCACCGAGTAACCATCGTAGTTTGGCATCTTCCAGATTTTTTTTTTTTCGGTTGTTCCAGTCTTAGCACCTTTCGAATGATTTTAGCGCTGCCTGCTGTACTTCCACTCTAACAGTTTGGGTTAGGTTAGACAAAGACATGGCTAAGCCAAGAAAAGTAACAAAGCAGCGGCCTCTTGTGGCCAATGTAAGTATTATTTAGATACTTTGGTTAACAGCTTATGGTGAAAACCTAGGGGTAGATCGTCTTTGCTCAGGGTTGAGGATTGCAATTATTTTGAAATACCTAGGATATTCTGCAATTTATTTCCTGCCTCTGATCACAGTTATAACCTGCATAGTGAAATACATTTGTCTAAGTTAGCTGAGTTAAAAATAATGCAAAAGAGGAGACAATAGAATTACATCTAACTGAATTACTCTTCCTAATGTAAGAATTTTTAAAGCCTAGGAAAAAGGAGAACTTTAAGACACTGATTAACATGTAGGATATTTTAGTGTTATAAAAACTTGCTGGCATCCTTGTATTTTTGTCAGGAAAAACAGATGCAGCCTAGTGGGAATCAGAAATTTGGATTATTGTCCTACCTAGCCTAAAAACAGGCCCTGATCACAGTGAGAGCAATTTTTCCTCTTGTGCTTCAATTCATCCCTTGTAAATGAAGGTGCTGAACAAATCTCAAGGGAATTTTATACCTTGGACAGATCAAATTTCATATCTATCTAGAACAAATTTATACAATTTTCCCACAGACCTTCAGTTTAGGTAATTTGCTGAGGTCACTTGGCTGCCAAGTGGCAAAGTCATGACTCAAATGTAGGTGTTACTCTAAAGCTTTTGCTGATGACCCTTGACACTGTAATACTATGTATATCATTGCCTTATCAGGGCAATTAATTCCTCACCTTGAGAGGGGAGAAGGGCCATCTCCTGATGACCAGTATTTTGGAAAACTCTGCTGTTCCCAGTAGCTAAAAATTTTTAAAGAAGAGATCAGAAATTGGATTACACTGGACCCTTACTTAGATACAACTAATACACTACTTTTGTGTGCAGTATTTGCTACTCTTCTTTAAAAAGAGGGATTCAGGTCCAAGGCAAGAGAAAAGTTTTTAATAAACTTTTATTTTATATTCAAGATAAAGCATATTCACAATTCAATGTGGAAATAAATTACTAGAAATGCTTTGGAAACCTTTCCATTTTCCCCTCAAACTCACTTTTTTTTTTAAGCTCATAAGTTTTTTTACTTGATTTTAAGAAACATGGCAACTATAATACTAAGAAAGAACTACAGCTTTGTACAGAAACATATAGCTTTGTCTGACTGTAAGGTTTAGTTGGTGTTTTAATAACAACAAAAAAGCACACAAGACACAAACACTCTTCAATAGGTTTACTCAAACAGCTTCGCTCGAGAAGAAAAAGGCACAGATTTAAGGGATGACAATGATCATTAAGAATGTAGTAAATGGGGACTCAGTCAAAAACTGACACTTTACGAATTAAGTCAAAAAAAAATGAAGTCTTTCAAATTATGTCTTCATTAAAATGAATTTTTAAATTAAATTGTATAAACATATGATATAAAGTTGGAACTTTGGGAAGTGTCTTTGTATATTTCCTTTATGTACAAATCTCTGTACACAATTTTAATGTCCCTTATATATTTCCTATATAGCAAACTGAGCCAGGACCTCCCAACTGCATGCCTCAAGTCCCTGTAGAGCACTCTGGCAGCTGGATGGCCCTAGCTGTTTTCTGACAAAATAGATGGAAAGGAGGAGGGACCAATTAAATGTAGTCATCTTCAACTGGCTCTCCATTGACATCACAATAGTGGATAAAAATTGCCACTACTCGCTGAAATACACCTTTCTTCATCTGACGCATCTCTGAAATTTCCTCTCCTATTGTTTCCATACAGATGTCTGCAGACAGCTGTCCTTTCCTTCTAGGAGCATAGATAGTGCCTTAGAAATTAGAAATAAAAGGAGATATATATATGATAATCAGAAATCATTTAGAAAATCATCGATAAGCTGGTCCATAAGATACTCCCATATACTGCACTATAATGTAACTGATATACGAATAGCTCATGGAATAGGTCACCACCAGTTTACTCTTATGTTTGATGCCTAAGACAGCATACATCCTTAAAGGCCCAAGGTAAAAATACTGCACCAAAGGTACGTCAGTCACATGTACATGTAGTTCATAAAATCCATTTCCTCAAAAAGTATTTTTTTTTTTAAAGTTTGGTTAACACTAAATATTCAAAGTATGCTACCACTTAGAGAAACTACATTCAAAAATTTCTCCCCAAATCTCTGTCTAAATTCTAAGTTTCCACAATAAGCAGCTCGTAACTAGCAGGAGAATAATACAATTGGAACAATTTTGAAACAACATAGTTGAATATTCAATAAATAATAAGATTATAAATATTTGGGTAATACAAAAATCTTGTAGGAAAAACTGTCTAAAGGAATCCTTTCTACCAGTCTTTATATATTCTTAGTAAGTCCACTGAACATCTATTGTACAAATAAAGAACTGCTTTGGAGTAAATAAAAAATATTTATATGGGAAACCAACACTGCACTGCTCCTAACTCACAAAACGATATTAAGTATGTAACACAGTAGGATATACTTAAACCAGAAAATAGACATCAAGACAAGTCATAATTACTTTCTTCATCATCTTCAAAGTCGTATCGAGCAAAGCTGTTGGGCTCTGCTGCTCGTAATGACCTCAGCCAAGGGAAATCAGAAATCATGGAATATGGAGCTCCATCCACAACACCTAAAAGAAGACAAAAGTAACATTGCTACTGGCGTGGAAGTGCTGACAGAGCCAAATTCTGTAGTATTTTGTAAGCAAAATGTAAAATATAAAGTAAAGAGAGTTAGGTGTCCCCAAATCATTTCCAGCCACCAAACTACAGTAATTTGTAATTTTTGTTTACGTTTTATGTTTCATCACTGCTTCTGATTGTCCGAAAAACAGTAGACTCATACAGGCAAAGCAATATTCATACAGGTTCCCGCTTCTTGCAGATATTGAAATCAACTGTATTTTGAAAAACTGTTAAGACTCCCATTCATATCTTCTCTAAGGCATGTCCTGTCATCTAGCTAATAGCTATTTAACTTTTTGTTTTTTAAAAAAAGTGCAGTTCTCTACATTTGGGTTACTGTTGTTTTAAGCCCAAATCAGTTTGACTAATTGATGGATAACTCATTGATTTGTGAATGAGACAGGGCCATGTTATGTTTCCCAGGCTGATCTTGAATCCTGGGCTCAAGTGATCCTCCCACCTCAGCCTCCTGAGTTGCTGGGATAACAGGGGTAAGCTATGACAGAGGCTATTTAACTTTCTAGATGTTTGTAAATACTCGCCTTCTAAAGTATAGATTTCTCTCCCCCAGGGGTACTTGGGGTACTTCTTTAAGTCTTCTTCACTTCGAGTGGCTTCAGGGAAGAATTCATATTTAATGAGCTCTCTGGAGGCAACAGGAAAAATTAAGTAAAAATTACAAAACTGGAAATAATATTAGAGTGTCGGGTGGGAAGGACACATCAAAACTGTTTTTTGGACACAGATTCTACTGAACATCTCAAACAAAACATTAAATATCTAACAGAAGTAGGATATACTCAAGCTAGAGAATCCAAGTGTACACAGGTCAAAACTACTTTCTTCTATCTTCAAAATCATATTAGGGAAAGACAGTCACTTCCTAAGCATGTATCTTCTACACAAAAGGTGCTTAATGCAACATTTACATAAT